AAATTTATAACTTGTCCAAGGTCACACAGTTTATGAATCCTGGAGCTAGGCTTTGCTCTGCCCTAGGCACCAAAGTGCTGGGATTATAGCCATAAGGGTAAAGGTTTTTGTTTGTATGTTTTTTTGAGACAGTCTTGCTCTGTCACCAGGATGGAGTGCAGTGGCCTGATCTCAGCTCACTTGTAATCTCTGCCTGCCTGGTTTGAGTGATTCCCCTGCTCTCAGCCTCCTGAGTAGCTGAAACCTTCGCCTCCTGGCTTCAAGTGATTTCTCCTGCCTCAGCCTCCCCAGTAGCTGGGACTATAGGCGCGTACCACCATGCCTGCCTAATTTTTTATTTTAGTAGAGATGGGGGTTTCATCATATTGGCCAGGATAGTCTTGATCTTCTGGCGACATGATTTGCCTACCTCAGCCTCCCAAGGTGCTGTGATTACAGGGTTGAGCCACTGTGCCCCACCGCAAAGGTTTTAAGATGACAAAGTATGGGTTACCCACAATTAATGGCAAGCAGTTTACTTTGACCTAGGGAAAGCTGCAAGTAAGAAAGTAATACGTGTTAAATTTGGAAAGGGAGCTACGGGGTAGATAATAGAAGTTCTGGGCTACTAAATGGACTAGGAGTTAATAGAATCATTTCTAGCTTAAAAACCTCTGGTGGTTCTCCATCCACATGTATAGGGTGGCCAAATAATCTGTCACTTAAACCAGGACCCTTTTCAGAGAAAGGAAGCACTATTAATTATGACACTGAGATAGGCAGAAGCTGAGAGTATCCCCAGCAAAATGAGAGTTACAGTCACCTTGACTGTAAGTCAAGTCCAAGATGATATTTTGGCAAAGCTGCTCTGGAGGCACTGTACAAGATAGGTAGAGGTGGGCCAGGTGCGGTGGCTCATGCCTGTAATCCCAGCATTTTGGGAGGCTGAGGCAGGTGGATCACGAGGTCAGGAGTTCAAGACCAGTCTGACCAACATGAAAAAACCCCATCTCTACTAAAAATACAAAAATTAGCTGGGCATGGTGTGGGTGCCTGTAGTCGCAGCTACCTGGGAGGCTGAGGCAGGCGAATCACTTAAAGCCAGGAGGCAGAGGTCAGTGAGCCGAGATCACACCACTGCACTCTAGCCTGGGCGACAGAGCAAGACTCTGTCTCGAAAAAACCAAGGTGGGTAGAGATAACTTTTGAGGTTAAGATGGTTGTTTAGGAATGTGACATAAGATTCTTCACTAGGTGGTTCCTGTGAGAACTAAAGAAAGGGTGAGTCTTCACTGCAAGAAATTAATAGGACTAGGGATGACTGGGTGTAGGTTATGAGGGAGGTAAAGGAATTACTTGAGTCATGAACTGGAGTGATTTTATTTTTAGTTTTTGAGATGGGGTCTCACTCCATTGCCCAGAATGGAATGCAGTGGTACAATCTCGGCTTACCACAACCTCTGCCTCCCAGGAGATCCTCTTGCCTCAGCCTCCTGAGTAGCTGGGACTACAGGTGCATGCCAGTATGCCTGGCAGATTTTTTATTTTTTTTGTAAAGATGGTCTTGCTTTGTTGTCCAGGCTGGTCTTGAACTCCTGGCCTCAAGTGATCCTCTCACCTTGGCCTCCTGAGTAGCTAGGATAACTGGCATAAGCCACTATGCCCAGACCTGAAAGATTGTGTGTGTGTGTGTGTGTGTGTGTGTGTGTGTGTGTTTGAGACAGAGTCTCACTGTGTTGCCCAGGCTGGAGTGTAGTGGCTGGATTTCAGCTCACTACTGCAGCCTCTGCCTCCTGGGCTCAAGCAATTCTTGTGCCTTAGCCATCCGAGAAGCTAGGATTATACGCATGCACCACCACTCTTAGCTAATTTTTGTATTATTAGTATTAGGGTTCTGCCATGTTGGCCATGACTGGTCTTGAACTCCTGGCCTGAAGTGATCCACCTGCCTTGGCCTCCAGAAATCCTGGGATTACCGGCGTGAGCCACCACGCCTGGTTGAAAGTATCTTTCTTTCTTTCTTTTGAGATGGAATCTCATTCGATTCCCCAGGCTGGAGTACAGTGGCGCTATCTGGGCTCACTGCAACCTCCTCCCCCTGGGTTCAAGCAATTCTCCTGCCTCAGCCTCCCTAGTAGCTGGAATTACATGTGTACACTAGCATGCTTGGCTAATTTTTTATTTTTAGTAGAGATGGGGTTTTTACCATATTGGCCGGGCTGTGATGTGATCTTTCTTAAGAGGCTTTCTTCCCTCTTATTTTCCATATTACCCTATTGGTTTATCAAGGGATATATCAAGTAAATACTGAATTTTCTACTGTGATTTAAAAGATTTTTTGTACCATTCAGTAATGGCCAGACATGGTGGCTCATGCCTGTAATCCCCAGCACTTTGGGAGGCACAGGTGGGAGGATGGCTTGAGCCCAGGAGTTTGAGACCAACCTGGACAACATAGTGAGGCCCCTGTCTCTAAAAAACAAAAAAATTGATAATGTGATTACAATTTGAAATATACAGAAAGATAATACCCAGAAATTTACCACCTGGAACCAATTGCTAAAAAGACCAAAATAAAGAGAAAAAAGGTTTTTATTCTATACAGGTATAATTGGACTTGGAAACTTTATTAAAATAACCTTTCTTCTTTTCTTTCTTTTCTCTCTACTTTTCTTCCTCCCTCTCCCCAAACCCCCAGTAAGTTTTGATAAATACCTCATAGGCCATATATAATTTTGTTATTTTTGTGGTTTTTGACATAGAATGTTGCTCTGTTGCCCAGGCTGAAGTGTGGTGGTACAATCATGACTCACTGCAGTCTTGACTTCCCAGGCTCAAGGGACCCTCCCAACTCAGCATCCTGAATAGCTGGGACTACAAGGGTGTGCCACCATGCTAGGCTAATTTTTTTTTTCATTTTTTGTAGAGACAGGGTCTCACTATGTTGCGCAGGATGGTCTTGAACATCCTCCTGCCTGTGCCTCCCCAAGTGCTGGGATTACAGATGCTAGCCACCATTCCCAGCCTAAAATTTTTCTTAAGTGACACTTGTGATACACGTTTTTGTACATAAAACTTGAAACTTTTCTATATTTAGAATAATTTCCTTTTTTTTTTTTCAGACAGTTTCACTCTGTCACCCAGGCTGGAGTGCAGTGGTGCAATCTCGGCTCTCTGCAACCTCCTACTCCCTGGTTCGAGTGATTCTAATGCCTCAGTGTCCCTAGTATATGAGTACAGGCACCAGGCACCACCAATGGCTAATTTTTGTTGTTGTTGTGGAAAGGAAGTTTAACTCTATCACCCAGGCTGGAGTGCAGTGGTTCAGGCTTAGCTGACTGCAACGTCCACCTCCTGGGTTCAAGTGATTCTGCCTTAGCCTACCGAGTAGCTGGGATTACAAGCACCCACTGCCACACTTGGCTAATTTTCATGTTTTTAGTAGAGACCAGGTTTCACCACATTGGCCAGGGTGGTCTTGACCTCCTGACTTCTGGTAATCAGCCTGCCTCTGTCTAAAAAGTTACTGGGATTACAGGCCTGAGCCACTGTGCCTGGCCTCTTTATTAAGGATAATTTCTTTTTTGTTTTTGTTTTTTGAGTTGAGTCTCGCTCTGTCACACAGGCAGTGGTGCGATCTCAGCTCAGTGCAACCTCCGCCACCCAGGCTCAAGCAATTCTCATGCTTCAACCTCAGGAGTAGCTGGAACTATAGTTGCGCACCACCACGCCCAGCTAATTTTGGTATTTTTAGTAGAGACAGGGTTTCACCATGTTGGCCAGGCTGGTTTCAAACTCCTGAACTCAAGTGATCCACCTGCTTCAGCCACCCAAATTGCTAGTATTACAGGTGTGAGCCACTGTGCCTGGCCTATATTTAAGATAATTTCTTTTTTTTTTTTTGGTCTTCTTTTTTTTTTAAAGACGGGGTTGCACCATGTTGGTAGGGCTGGTCTTGAACTCCCGACCTCAGGTGATCCACCTGCCTTGGCCTCCAAAGTGCTTGGATTACAGGCATGAGCCACCATGCCTGGCCTTTTTTTTTTTTTTTTTGGTCTTCTTAAAGCTAAGCCTTTAAGTGTAAGATAATTTCTAAAAGTAGAATTCTTGGGTCTAATGATAGTAACAGATATATTTTTGCCTAATTGATTTTGTGCTAGTTTATACTGCCACCAAATGTGCCTCTTTTACCACATCCTTTTTGTTCCTGGCTGTTAAAATTCTTTTTCATTTTGCTACTTTAGTTGACAAAGAATGGTTTCTACTTGGTATTTTAATGTCTTTTTTTTTTTTGAGATGGATTCTCACTATGTAGCCCAGGCTGGAGTTTAGTGGCGTGATCTTGGCTCACTGCAACCTCTACCTTCTGGTTTCAAGTGATTCTCCTGCCTCAGCTTCCAGAGTAGCTGGGATTAGAGGTGCCTGCCATCACACCTAGCTGATTTTTTTTTTTTTTAGTAAAGACAGGTTTTCACCATGTTGGCCAGGCTGGTCTCAAACTCCTGACCTTGTGATCTACCCGCCTCAGCCTCCTAAAATGCTGGGATTACAGGTGTGGGCTACCACGCCTGGCCTTGTTTTGTTGTTAAGACAGAGTTTCACTCTGGCACCCAGGCTGGGGTGCAGTGGTATGATCAGGGCTTACAGCAGCCTCAACCTCCTGGGCTCAAGTGATCCTCCCACCTCAGCCTCCTAAATTGCTGGGACCACAAGTGCATTCTACCATGCCTGGCTAATTTTTAAATTTTTTTAGAAATGGGGTTTTGCCATGTGCCCAGGCTGGTCTTAAACTCCTAAGCTCAAGTGATCCTCCTGTCTAGGCCTCCCAAAATGCTAGAATGTCAAGCATGAGCCACTACATCACTATAGATCATGTTAGACCAGCCTGGATAAGAGTGTGTAATTCTTTGCAGTAAGGTTGCTATAGGATTATCTACTCAGAGTTGGTGTTTAACAGTATTGGTGTTTAGTGTATATTGGTGTTTAATATTGACTACTAAATTCAAAACTCCTTTTTTCAGACCCTATCAGATTTGGATATGTCCTTCATATTTGATTGGATTTACAGTGGTTTCAGCAGTGTGCTACAGTTTCTAGGTATTGTTGGTTCTTTGTTCTTTATAGTTATCCTCTTTGGTCTTATTTGTTTAATAGTGCCTATCTGTGTCAAGTCTCTTTATATATAAGCCAGTAGTTAAGAATAGTTAAGAATATAGTCTTTGAAATCATATAAATATGTTCAATTATTTGTTATATCCCTTTTAAATTAAGTAATCTTTGGCAAATTACTTTTTTTCACCTTAACCTGCGTTTCCTTATCTGTAAAATGGTAATAATAATTCCTGGCTGTTAAGGTGTTAGGAATATTACGAACAGAAATATCTACCATTTATTAGCTAGTTTACCTATGTGCTTTAATGCTTTATGTCATTTAATCCTTAGAGGAATTCAGTATGTTATTTTTATTATTAAAATGCATGTTCCATAAAGTACCTTGTATACCATAAATAGCAGTTAATAATCTGCTAAATAAGATGTATTTACCCAGGAATTTTTTTTTAATTTTATAGGGATGGGGTCTTGCTATGTTGCCCAAGCTGTTTTTTTGTTTCTTTGTTTTTGAGGCAGAGTCTTGCTCTATCACCCAGGCTGGAGTTCAGTGGCGTGATCTCTCACTGTAATGTCCGCCTCCCAGGTTCAAGCCATTCTTCTGCCTCAATCTCTCGAGTAGCTGGGACTACAGGTGTGTGCCACCATACCAGCTAATTTTTGTATTTTTCGTAGAGATGGGGCTTCACCTTGTTGGCCAGGCTGGTCTTGAATCCACCTGCCTCAGCCTCCCAAAGTGCTAAGATTACAGGCGTGAGCCATTGTGCCCAGCCTTGCTACAGTTTTTTTTTTGTTGTTGTTGTTGGGGCAGAGGGTCACTGAGTCTCACTCTGTCACCCAGGCTGGAGTGCAGTAGCGCGATCTCAGCTCACTGTACCCTCCGCCTCCCAGGTTCAAGCAATTCTCCTGCCTCAGCCTCCCAAGTAACTGGGACTATAGGCGTGTACCACCCGGCCCGACTACTTTTTGTATTTTAGTAGAGATGGGGTTTCACCACGTTGGCCAGACTGGTCTTGAACTCCTGACCTCAAATGATCCACCTACCTCGGCCTCCCAAATTGCTGGGACTACAGGCATGAGCCACTGCACTCAGTCTCCTTGGTACAGTTTTTAGGTAACATGGGTCCTTTGCTCTCTTAGTTATCGTCTTTTATCTTATTTATATATTAGGGTTTATTTGTGTCGAGCCTCTTTCTATATGAGGCAATAGTTAAGAATATGGGCTTTGTAATGTTACAAATATGTTCAATTACTCATTGCATCTTTTCCTCTTTTTTTTGAGATGAAGTCTCGCTCTTGTCCCCCAGGCTGGAATGCAATGGCACTATCTCGGCTAACTCCAACTTCCGCTTCCTGGGTTCAAGTGATTCTCCTGCCTCAGCCTCCTGAGTAGCTGGGATTATAAGCGTCTGGCCAATGTTTGTATTTTTAGTAGAAACGAGGTTTCACCATGTTGGCCAGGCTGGTCTCGAACTCCTGACCTTGTGATTGGCCTGCCTGGGCCTCCCAAAATGCTGGGATTACAGGCATGAGCCACCACACCTGGCCATATTGCTTTTAAATTATGTAATCTTGGGCAAATTGCTTTTTCATGACACTCATAGAAGTAGTGACAGTCAAACAAGTAGATTCTTTAATGATAAAAAATATATATAGTTCTCCCCCCAAAAATAAAAAATTAGGACATCAAAGAGTATATTTCTTGGTCTTAAGCATGGATAAAGACTAAGTGTTATTTTAGTATGAATTTATTAGAAAACAAATGGCCTAAGTATAGTTGCCTAATGTCTTTAAATGTTTATTTCAAATACCAACTTGAACCAGAAAAAAGTTTATTTATTGATTAAATATTTTTTCAACTGCTACTAAAAGTTAAGACTAGTCTTCTCTCATGTAATTCTGTGGCGGTTAGACAATTAAACACGTAAAAAATGAAGTTTGGATGGCTGGGCATGGTGGCTCACGCCTGTAATCCCAGCACTTTGGAAGGCCAAGGCAGGCGGATCACAAGGTCAGGAGATTGAGACCATCCTGGCTAACAAACATGGTGAAACCCCATCTCTGCCGAAGATATAAAAAATTAGCCGGACGTGGTAGCATGCACCTGTAGTCTCAGCTACTCAGGAGACTGAGGCAGAATCACTTGAACCTGGGAGGCAGAGGGTGCAGTGAGCCAAGATTGTGCCATTGCACTTTAGCCTGGGCAACAGAGCGAGACTCTGTCTCAAAATAAATAAATAAATAAATAAAATAAAAAGGTTTGGCTGGGCATGTGGCTCACGATTGTAATCCCAGCACTTTGGGAGGCCAAGGTGGGCAGTTCACTTGAGGCCAAGAGTTCAAGACCAGACTGGCTAACATGGTAAAACCCCATCTCTACCAAAAAATACAAAATTTAGCTGGGTGTAGTGGTACACACCTGTGGTCTCAGCTACTCAGGAAGCTGGGGTGGGAGGATTGCTTGAGCCCAGGAAGTTGAGGCTGCAGCAAGCTGTAATAATGCTGTTGCACTTCAGCCTAGGCAAGAGTGAGAACCTGCCTCTAAATAAATTAAGTAAGTTCAATATGAAATTTAGCAGTTCAATTCCAGTCTAAATTGGTCAATGCTGCCTTTTTTCTATTTATCAATTTATCGATCAATTCCTGGTTGATACTTCTAAAATTAAAGTAATCAGCATTTTGGCATTATGGATATGTTAAGGCAACACACCTATTGACTGAGTCGAAGTTTGGTTTTATAATTATTTGAAGTCCCAAATCATGAATAGATTTATTTATTTATTTATGAGATAGAGTCTCACTCTGTTGCCTACGCTGGAGTGCAATGGCATGATCTCAGCTCACTGCAACCTCCACCTCCTGGGTTCCAGTGATTCTCCTGCCTCAGCTTCCCGAGTAGCTGGGATTACAGGCATATACCACCACACCTGGCTAATTTTTGTATTTTTAGTAGAGTCGAGGTTTTGCCATGTTGGTTAGGCTGTTCTTGAACTCCTGACCTCAGATGATTGGCCTGCCTCAGCCTCCCAAAGTGCTGGGATTACATTGTGAGCCACTGTGCCCAGCCATGAATAGATTTAATATAGCTCTTTTAAAATCGAAAATAGGTTTACAACTCCAACCTTAATCGGGTCAAATTTAAATTCATTTGGATAATCTGTGTCAGATATCACTTTGACCAATCATAGCTCTTACTTTGCAGGATTATATAAGAAGACAGGTAAATTGGTATTTCTTGGATTGGATAATGCAGGAAAAACAACACTGCTACACATGCTAAAAGATGACAGACTTGGACAACATGTCCCAACATTACATCCCAGTAAGTATATTCCTACATACAGTGTGATACTTGATCAAGTGATGCTAAATCACACACACTAACCAAAACTGTTTTGTTTTGTCTTGCTCTGTTGCCCAGGCTGCATGCAGTGCAGTAGTATGATCACAGTTCACTGCTACCTCTGCCTTCCTGGCTTAAGCCATCCTCTTGACTAGGCCTCCCAAGTAGCTGGGACCACAGGCATATGCCACCACACACTTAATTTTTATATTTTTTCAGAGACCAGGTTTCAGTATGTTGTCCAGGCTGGTGTCGAACTCCTTAGCTCAAGTGATCAGCCTGTCTTGGCCTCCCAAAGTATTGGGATCATAGGCATGAGCCACCACACATGGGCAAGTTTTTCATTTTGGGAGCGTTTTCTGGTAGATAAATTATGATCAGGCGACTTGACCTGTTCCTAAAATAATATAGTAAATTATATGTGACCTGGCTCCCAGGGAGTATATTTAGATCTTAAAGTAGTACTCATATATTTTGTTTTTTTTGAGACAGAGTCTCACTCTGTTGCCCAGGCTGGAGTGCAGTCTCATGATCTCAGCTCACTGCAACCTCTGCCTCCCAGGTTCAAGCAATTCTCCTGCCTCAGCCTCCCTAGTAGCTGGGATTACAGGCACGTGCTACCACACCCAGCTAATTTTTGTAGTTTCAGTAGGTAAGGGGTTTCAGCATGTTAGCCAGTCTGGTCTTAAACTCATGACCTCAGGCAATCCGCCTGCCTCAGCCTCCTAAAGTGCTGGGATTACAGATGTGAGCCACCACACCCAGCCAAAAATTCAATTTTTTTTTTGAGATGGGGTTTCACCCCATCTCAGTGCTGTGGTGCCATCTCAGCTCACTGTAACCTCTGCCTCCCAGGTTCAAGCAATTCTTCTGCCTCAGCCTCCTGAGTAGCTGGGATTACAGGCATGCGCCACCACTCCCTGCTAATTTTTTATTTTTAGTAAAAAAATTTTTTCTCCACTTGGGTCAGGCTGGTTTCTATTTCCTGACCTCAAATGATCGGCCTGCCTTGGCTTCCCAAAGTGCTGGGGTTACAGGGGTGAGCCATTGTGCCTGGCCAAAAATGGAAAGTTTTAAAACAATTTTTAAAATAATTTGTGTGTTCTTGTTCTTTTAGAAAGACCACCTGGGCCAGGTGTGGTTGCTCATGCCTGTAATCTCAGCACTTAGGGAGGCACAGGTGGGAGGATATCTTGTTTTAACAAGATAAAGTACTCTGGGCTAAAGTAGTTACACTAAAACTTGGGTTGTTGGCCAGGCTCGGTGGCTCACACCTGTAATCCCAGCACTTTGGGAGGCCAAGGTGGATGGATCACTTGAGGTCAGGCATTCGAGACCAGCCTGGCCAGCATGGCGAAACCTCGTTTCTACTAAAAATAGAAAAAAATTAGCTAGGTGTGGTAGCGTGCACCTGTAATCCTAGCTACTGGGGAGGCTGAAGCAGGAGAATCACTTGAACCCTGGAGGCAGAGGTTGCAGTGAGCAGAGATCATGCCACTGCACTCCAGCCTGGGAGACAGAATGAGACTGTCTAAAAAACAAACAAACAATAAACTTATGTTGTCATTATGGGGCACTTATGCTTTTGACCTTAAGGAATTACTGGGTCTGGAATTACCCTCCCACTGTATGCACTAGAAAACTGGACAAAAAATATACTACAACAGTTTTCAGACATTGGCCAACAGCTAGCACAGAACTGTGATTCCTGAAAGAAAGGAAACAACTCTTCTTTATTTTAGTTTTATGGCAAGAGATAATTTTCAGACCATGGTGCAAGGAAAGGACATCCCAACATAGTCCAATAATCTTGCTGAGTTGAGGAGATGTAGAAAGGCCAACAGGACTAGAATTTTTTGCTAGGCCAGAGAGGAGGGACCTCTGGACAGAAAGGACTAGAAATTTACATCGGGCCAGGCACGGTGGCTCAAGCCTATAATCCCAGCACTTTGGGAGGCCGAGGTGGGTGGATCACGAGGTCAAGAGATCGAGACCATCCTGGTCAACATGGTGAAACCCCGTCTCTACTAAAAATACAAAAAATTAGCTGGGCATGGTGGTGCGTGCCTGTAATCCCAGCTACTCAGGAGGCTGAGGCAGGAGAATTGCCTGAACCCAGGAGGCGGAGGTTGCGGTGAGCCGAGATCGCGCCATTGCACTCCAGCCTGGGTAACAAGAGTGAAAGACCATGCCTGGGATCTGTACAGGCATGAGTTACCATGCCCAGCCTGAAATGAAAATTTCACTGGCTAGGATTAACAGTAAATTAGATAGTGCCAGTACTGTAGAAGGAAAGCCCAGTAAACAATGCAATAGAAACTATCCAAAATGAAGCACAGAAAGAAAAATGACTGAAAGCAAAATAAACAGAGCCTCAATGACTGGTGGGACAATATCAGACAGTCTAACAAATCTGCAAAAATTAGCCAGGCATGGTGGTGCGTGCCTGTAGTCCCAGCTACTCAGGAGGCTGAGGCAGGAGAATCGCTTGAACCCAGAAGGCAGAGGTTGCACTGAGCCAAGATCACACCTCTGAATGGAATTCCAGCCTGGCGATAGAACAAAACACTGTCTCAAAAAAATAAAAGAAAGAAAAGAATAGAGAAGGAAAAATAAATGTTGGATTTATGGTGGGTAATGAATACCAGAAGTGAATATTACAATTATTTGTCATAATGTCAATATGAATTGGTGTATATCTAATTACAAAAAGTATTATTGTACCAGTTCCTAAATGATTGATTTGACCTTATTTACAATAAAAGTAAATCAAACATTAAGTAGTAATATAAGCTATTAATGGGTTTGTAAAAATATTTTAAATTCTTATTTAGCTTCAGAAGAACTGACCATTGCTGGCATGACGTTTACAACTTTTGATCTGGGTGGACATGTTCAAGGTAAGATTCATTTTATTTTTTGAGACAGGATCTCACTCTGTCTCCCACGCTGGAGTGCGGTGGTGCAATCTCAGCTCACTGTGACCTCTGCCTTCTGGGTTCAAGTGATCCTCATGCCTTAGTCTCCCCAGTAACTGGGATTACAGGCATGTGCCACCACGCCCGGCTAATTTTTGTATTTTTAGTAGAGATGGGGTTTCGCCATGTTCAAGGTAAGATTCTATTACTCTTATAGTCACTTTGTCTTCTTTTCTTTTTTTTTTTCTGGAATTAGAAAACCTGAAGTAACACTTTGTTTTATTTTAACTTAACAAAAATGTGGCCATTAGTTCCAGTATATGAAATCTCGTTCTATTCACTTAAGGCCAGAGTAGATTTAAAATGTAGGGATTATTACTCCCTGTTAAATGCTTTAAAAGTGAAGGGTGTTAAAAAAAAGAAAAGAAAACCAGTAAAATAAAAAATAAAGAAAAGCAAAGGGTGATTTTCATGATACTTCTGGTCAGTTCAAATTGGAATTGCTTTTGGTGGCTAAGTGTTTGAGTAAAATTTAGCTTCCATTCTCTCTAGTTCAGTCTGCTTGCTATTGTTATAATCATGTTATGAACATGTTAATGCTCTTTAAAAAAAAAAAAAAAAAACCTTAAATGGCTAACTCATTACCTACAAAACATGCCAGACTTATTAACCTGGCATTCAGGATCTCTATGATCTGGTCCCAGTTTACTTTTCTGGGTTTTAAAATTTATTATTTTATAGAGACAGGGTCTCACTCACTAAGTTGCCCAGGCTGGTCTCCAACTCTTGGGCTCAAGCAATCCTCCCACCTCAGCCTCCCAAAAGTATTGGGATTATAGGTGTGAGCCAACACCTGACCTACTTTTCTAGTCTTTATTTCCCGCTATTCCCCTTCCCATTCTTTTTACTTTAACCAAATCAGACCTTCTTGGTGTTTTTCTACCTCTGTGCTTTTGCTCATGCCATCCCCATCCACACATGAGTGACCCCTTCAGGGCCCAGTGCTGTTCCCTCCCTTGGGAATCCATTCTCAGTTGGAGTGCTCTCAGCTGTACTTCATAGCACTTAGTGCATTTGTGTACATGTCTATAACAAATTTAGAAAGACTTCTTTATGTCCTGTATTAAACTTGCAGGTACTAAAATCCTATTTGTTTGTTTTTTTTTTAATTAAAAAGAATGCTTTTAGAGATGGGGTCTCACTATCTTGCCCAGGCTGATTTTGAAGTCCTGGCCTCAAGCAGTCCTCTTACCTCAGTTTCCTAAAGTTCTGGGATTATAGGTGTGAGCCCCCACACCTGGCCTGTTCATTTTTTATATCCCCAAAAGTATTTGGCAACATTTAGCTCATAGTAAGTCATAACCGAGTTGGCAGGCATTCTAAAGACCTGATATGACATATAGTTGAAAAGACTGTAAGCAGTTCTTGCTAGTGAAAGCACATTTGTGACCTATAATTGCCTGGTATATATGCAAAATAATTTCTAGAATATGATTATTAGAATTGCAATCTAATGGAATTGTGTGAGACTTCATTTCTATATTGTTTTTGGGATATGTCATAGTGGCTGGGAATTACAGGGGACTCAGGCCTGTAATTCCAGTGCTTTGAGAGGCTGAGGTGGGAGGATCACTTGAAGCCAGGAGTTCCAGACCAGCTGTGCAACATAGCAAGAGCCTGTCTCTACACAGAATTTAAAAAAATTAATGGGGCATGATGATAGACACTGATAGTCCCAGCTACTCAGGAGGCTGAGATAGGAAGATGGCTTGAGCTCAAGAGATTGAGGCTGCAGTGAACTAGCCTGGATAACAGAGTGAGACCCTGTCTCTTAAAAAAAAAAAAAAAAAAAAAAGAGCGAAAGAGGTATGTCATAAAACTAAAGTCAGTGAAGAAAGTTATGGGAAAAAATTGCTCTTATGATTTCATAGACTTTAATTATCAACATTTGATCTTTTCTGTTATGAGTAAAACAGTTTGCTTTTTTATTTTTATTTTTATTTATTTATTTTTTGAGACAGAGTTTCGCTGTTGTTACCCAGACTGGAGTGCAATGGCAGGATCTCGGCTCACCACAACCTCCGCCTTCTGGGTTCAAGCAATTCACCTGCCTCAGCCTCCCGAGTAGCTGGGACTACAGGCGTGCACCACCATGCCCAGCTAATTTTTTATATTTTTAGTAGAGACGGGGTTTCACCTTGTTGACCAGGATGGTCTCTATCTCTTGACCACGTGATCCACCCGCCTCGGCCTCCCAAAATGCTGGGATTATAGGCATAAGCCACCGTGCCTGGCCAACAGTTTGCTTTTTTAAAAAAATTTTTATTTATTAACTTATTTTGAGACAGAGTCTGGCTCTGTCGCCCAGACTGGAAGTGCAGTGGTGTGATCTTAGCTCACTGCAAACTCTGCTTCCTGTGCTCCATCCTCCCACCTCAGCCTCCCAAGTAGCTGGGTAGGTACATGCCACCACACTTGGCTAATTTTTTTTTTTTTTTTGAGATGGAGTCTCGCTGTGTCACCCAGGCCGGAGTGCAGTGGTGCGATCACAGCTCACAGTAACCTCTGCCTCCCAGGTTCAAGCAAATCTCTTGCCTCAAACTCCTAAGTAGCTGGGATCACTGGCACATGCCACCATTCCCGGCTAATTTTTGTGTTTTTAATAGAGACAGGGTTTCGCCATGTTGGCCAGGCTGGTCTCAAACGCCTGACCTCCAGTGATCCACCCATCTCAGCATCCTAAAGTGCTGGGATTACAGGCATGAGCCACTTCGCCTGGCCTTGGCTAATTTTTTGTATTTTTTATAGAGATGAGGTTTCACCATGTTGTGCAGGCTGGTCTGAACTCCTGAGCTCAAGCAATCCACCCGCCTTGGCCTTCCAAAGTGTTGGGATTACAGGCGTGAGCCACAACACCTGGCCTTATTATTCTAATTTAACACGCTTACACCTAGTATTAATTTCCTTTTGTCACTCATTCCAAAGTTACCGTGGCAAAAAAAAAAAAAAAAATCTGATAACCAGAAATGTCAAAAAATGAATACTGCATATATGTGTAATATAAATACACACTTTATTTATATGTAATTACATATACATGTAGGTTTTTTACGGCTTATATTTTAGATTTATATTGTAGCAGTCCTCCAATGAATTTAACATGTATCATTATGCACTAGTGGCAAATATTCTACTTTTTTAATTTTTATTCTTTTAAATATTCTACTTCTTACATACAATAATTGGGAAGAGACTAAAGTATTTGACTTGCCCACAATCAAGGAAAGCCTGAAATTTCCTCTTTGGTGTTCTCAGAAGAAATTGGCACCATTGGGTAAAAGATTGACATGAATATATTGTGAAGTAGCAGCAGCTAAGGGATTACTGCCCTTGATATCTTGTTGGACTCTTTGCTTAAACCATCAGCTGGGTTTGACCAGCAAATAAACTCTAACTCCTGATTGTTTTTATTAGCTCGAAGAGTGTGGAAAAACTACCTTCCTGCTATCAATGGCATTGTCTTTCTGGTGGATTGTGCAGACCATGAAAGGCTGTTAGAATCAAAAGAAGAACTTGATGTAAGTTAAATAATTGAAACTAAATATAGTCAAATCACTGTAGTAAGTCTGAAGAAGTCTGAAGAAGTAGGTTGGAGATAATGGTTATTAGAGTGCTGCTTTTCTGGAGTCTTTGATGAAACTCTTAGCAATTTGTTGAGCTAAATGATTGCTTTAAATGGTGATTACTCAGAGTGCAGAAGGGCCGGGCTTGATGGCTCATGCCTGTAATCCCAGCCCTTGGGGAGGCCGTGGTGGGTGGATCACTAGATCAAGAGATCGAGACCATCCTGACCAACATGGTGAAACCCCATCTCTACTAAAATATAAAAATTAGCTGGGCATGGTGGTGCGTGCCTGTAGTGTCAGCGACTCTGGAGGCTGAGGCAGGAGACTCACTTGAACCAGGAAGGTGGAGGTTGCAGTGAGCTGAGATCATGCCATTGCACTCCATCCTGGTGACAGAGTGAGACTCCATCTCAAAAAAAAAAAAAAAATGCAGAGGGAGTAACTTTGAGTAACTGTAGCTATTGAGGAAGTACCAACACAGACATCCTTTATGAAGACTTAAGAAGCTCACCCTGTACAGAATATACCTTTTTAGTATATTTCATGTCTGCTATCTTCCTGGAGTGGGTTGATCTTGAGTCCCTGGTCATGCTTGGATGCTATTTCATAAGCCACAACCTGAAATGATAGGACATGCCATCTTTGACACTACTCCCAGGAGTGAGCAGAGGCATATGTAGCTAACTCCTTTCCAGTATCCCAGGTCACATACTTTGTAAAGGGGCCCAACAGCCACAGACAAGGTCAACACTAGATCTGGGGCCACAGAGTAAGCAGGTCCATGATCTGATTGAAGGTTGATCCTACCATGCCTCTGCCCAGAGCAGGCAAACAAATACTTGTACATGTGGAAAAGTCCAGGTAGGTTCTATGGTTATAAAATAAGGATAAAGAATGCCTGAATTCCTACTTTGCTCCAGAGACTGTGTATGTTATTTCATTAAATTCTCAATTTCATAGGGTAGATACTACTGTTCCTAATTCTCTCTAGAGCTTCAGTCAGGCTAACTTGCCCAAAGTCACATCTCAGAAGCAGTAGAGGCTGGGCCTGGTGGCTCATGCCTGTAATTCTAGCACTTTGGGAGGCTGAGGGGGGCGGACTGTGAGGTCAGAGGTTTGAGACCAGTCTGGCCAACATGGTGAAACCCCGTCTCTGCTAAAAATACAAAAATTAGCTGGATGTGGTGGTGCATGTCTGTAATCCCAGCTACTCAGGAGGCTGGGGCAGGAGAATCGCTTGAACCCAGGAGGTGGAGGTTGCAGGGAGCTGAGGTTACACCATTGTACTCCAGCCTGGGCAACAGGGCATGACTCCATCTCAAAAAAAAAAAAAGCAGCAGTAGAACCAGAAGTGAAACCAGATCTGTCCACCTCTAAGGTGTTGGCTCTATACACTCTATGTCACTGCTTTACAAGGTGAACAGAGTACACATTTACAGGAAGAGGCCTAGGAAGACAGAAGAATTGAGCTTATGGTTTCATTGAGGTCACTTTAAAATGTGGGGAAAGTTTGCCAAAGAAAACTGGTATGACATGATATCATAGAAAATAGTCCTTCACTGTTTTATCATATCAAAATAAGCTCTTTGGATGGTTTCATATCAACTCTTGTTTTTTTACAGTCACTAATGACAGATGAAACCATTGCTAATGTGCCTATACTGATTCTTGGGAATAAGATCGACAGACCTGAAGCCATCAGTGAAGAGAGGTTACGAGAGATGTTTGGTTTATATGGTCAGACAACAGGAAAGGTAAAAAAAAAAAAAAAAAAATTATGATGGGTGTGAATGTTTAATTCTATGATACAAATGTCTTCTTAAATTACTATTGTCCAACTATATAAGCCCATTATCATTCTTTTTTCTTAAAGAAAACTGTCATTTATACTTGTGGGTCTTCTTAGTGTCTTCATTTTTTTCTACCATGGAATGAAACCTTTTCTTGTTGACAATAAAAATGTCAAGGATCAGTTATGCCTAAAGCTTGTGCTTATGGGAAACTAAATTAAAGCTTTCATAGTTATTTATCATGCACTTTGAGAATTAGCCACCAAACAATGTATTTGAGTGTTTAAGCATGGCAGTAGTGTGTTTAGGCCCCCGAGTTCACCAGAGATAAATAAGACATAAACCTGGTCATGGGAATATTTTAGGGTTTTCTGAACATACACTTTATAGTAAGCTTTAAGATGCATTGTTTTGGTATTCACTTTTCTTAGGATTTATTTTGGGGGAAACATCAGCATTGAAAAATTCCAGATTGGCCAGGCATGGTGGCTTATGCCTGTAATCCAAGCACGTTGGAGGCCAAGGCGGGCAGATCACCTGTGGTCGGGAGTTCAAGACCAGCCTGACCAACATGGTGAAACCCCGTCTTAAAAAAAAAGGAAAGAAAAATTCCAGATAAACAATGGAAGAACCCCAGAGGTTCACAAAATTTTCTTGGTTTACATATACTATTTCAGGGTGGAGAAATACTGCAGCATATAGCAGGAGGCTCTCATGTTAGACAAAGTAGACTCTGGTCTGTTTTTTGTCTTTTTTATAAATTTGCTCCACATTAATTTTAGGAAATGCCTTGTTTGGTCACAAACCTTCTCAGGGAATGTTTGTGTTTAATATTAGTGAAGTCAGTTGGGTTTTTTCTAAGTCAGATTATTTTCATCCTTGGGTATCTCACAAGCTCACCTCTTTCCCACTGAGTGGCCATCCTGTCCTAAGATAGCATGAGGAAGGAGGCTTCTTGTGATGTTTAGGGGACCTGGATGCCAAGCAGCCATGACTTTAACACAGACATGGATTTATCACAGTCACTTTTTTGTTCTAAAATGGAACCTATACTTCTGCTGGGATGTGGGGCTTTATTAATTTCATAAAACTCCAACAAAATGTCTCTCTTCTATTCTAGGGGAGTGTATCTCTGAAAGAACTGAATGCCCGACCCTTAGAAGTTTTCATGTGTAGTGTGCTCAAAAGACAAGGTTACGGAGAAGGCTTCCGCTGGATGGCACAGTACATTGATTAACACAGACCCACCGTGGTCCAGGTCTCAACGTTCAGGCTTACTTAGAGATTTGATTGCTCAACATGCATAACTTGAATTTAATAGACTTTTGCTGGTTATAAAACATGTTTTTTAGATTATTAGTATTATATCAACTTAATTGGAGTGAGAATTGAAAACTGATTCAAGTAAGTTTGAATATCACAATGTTAGCTTTCTAATTCTGTAAAAGTAATTGGTTTTTACAGTTTATAATCTGACATCACCCAAGCGCCATTTATAAAGAGCAACTTTCCAGCAGTACATTTGAAACACTTTTTAACAACATGAAATTATAAATATAAACCATATTTAAAAGCTCACCATGTTAAATTTTTTATGTACTTTTTTGGAACTAGTTTTTAAATTTTAGATTATATGTCCACTTAAGTGTACAGTTAATAATTAGCTTATTCAATGATTGCATGATGCCTTACAGTTTTCAGTAACATTTTTTCTTATGCAAACGTCATGCAATAAAACAAACTCAATGTTTGGCATCCTTGTTGGGCAAATGTTTCATTTAAATGTGTCTTATCTAGTTAGTATACTCTGAAAATTTTAGTATTTAATATTAGACATATGAGGTGATTGTTGGGAAAGGAGATTCCTTCAGAATATTTAGATAGCATTTAAGCCTCTCAAGGCTTTTATATTTACCATGAGACGGTTGTGGTCAGTTGCACCTGATACCACGTATCACTGAATCATGTGTATTTTTATTAGCGATGTGGCCACTACCATTGCTGATGGGGTCTGTGTCCTAGTCCCTGTGGGATTGGCCTTCTGAAGAAAAGCACATTTATGGTACACAAGGTTGATTATCAGTTTGGTAGGCCCTATAGTTCCATCCCAGTTGTCTGATTCTGAAGTGCTCCAGTCTTATTGGTGCCCAATTGGGTAATCTGTGCCTCTTCCCCAAAAGTAATGACAGGCCCCAGTCTCTCCACATTTAGATGTACTCCCGGTCTCTTTACATTTAACGGTACTCCCTGGGGCAAGCAACAAGTAGGCTCTTGTGTGCAGTTTCACTGCAGAGACCTGCATATCTGAGGACTAAAACAGCTTGTTCTGCATCAGTCTGAGATATGCGGAGATTTTGTTCCTATCCTATAGCTCTTTTCTATTCTTTGGCATATTTTATTTTCTGATAGAAGAAAACAAGTGCTGGTTTCTAATTTTCTTTTTTCTTATTTGCTCTCAGGTAGTTCTTACTTTATAGAACAAAGACTTTTTGTTTGGCTTTTTTTGTTTTGTTTTGTTTTAGAGACAGTGTTTCACCATGTTGACCAGGCGGTGTCAAACACCTGACCTCAAGTGATCTGCCCGCCGTGGCCTCCCAAAGTGCTGGGATTACAGGTGTGAGCTACCATTGCCTGGCCTGACTTTTGTTTTTAGATATTATGCTTGTCATGTGATAGGGCCTGCAAACCTCATTGCCAGGCTTACTAAGAAAAATTTAGTTCTTCAAAAGCATTATAGTTTCCTAAGAAATTGAATTTTTTTTATGTTTGAGATTCCATCATTAGTAAGATAAGATGAAAGGTAACTGCCAAAAATGTATTTTTTAAAGACTCTCAAGTTTAAGATTTCTCTTCTGATTATAAGCCAAGTTTTATAATGTATTGAACCAATTCCATCATGAATAATTTTAATATCAAAAATTAGTGTTTTCTGTAGCCGTTGTCCATGTTACAGTTACAGTCCTTTTTGTCATCGATAATATAACCTATCAAGCAGATAAGGATTGAGGAATATGACTGGAAGGAATTACTAGTTAGCTAAACTGACAGGGTCTCTTCTTAAGATGACGTTTGATTTCAGTACTCTGACTTTTCTGATTCACTTTCATCTTCTTTCTAAATGAAAATGAAAGAGCTCCCTCCCTTCCTAGAAACGTCAGTAACACTAAGGGAAAAGTAGTGACATTGCAGCCCATTTATTTCTTCTTCCAGGTAGGTTTCAAGTGCTTACTCCTTCAGTGCTGACTAAATAGAACTAAGCCTTATGAAAAGTAACTGCCTCTTGTTCCTATTATCTGTCTTCAGTACCTTCAGGGACATGCCTTTCTTCAAGTATTTTCTAGAGTATCCATTGTGATACCGAAGAAGTTAATTATTTGTGTTGTAAATTGGTATGAAGGAAACAATGTCCTGGTTTCTCTAGCCAGGAAAAATGCTTCCTGGTATATTATCTCTCTCAGTCCAGAACCCTCATTCTAATTGTAACACTAAGATCAAAGAAACAAATAGTCACTTTGTAGACCACAGCTAAACTCTGGATATTTTCCCAAAGATGGAAGATTTTTATGGCTCCAGCCTCTAGAAAGGAAGCTATGTTTAGCAGCAACCAGCTTTCCTTCCAGCTCCAAGAGGCAGAGTTCCTGAGCCAGTGGACTTAACGTCTAGCTCTGAGAACCTCTCTGTAGTATATGCACTGGGTACTGCTCTTTTTCAAAAGAGCCAAATTAAGAAGATGGCAAGAAACAGTAGAAGCACAGAAGGAAGACAACTCTGTATGTGCCTATGTGGATATGTGCAACTGGGGAGTATTTTCCAGGTACATACTAGTACTAGGGACATATGCTAATTTTGTGTCCCACACCGTAAAATGTTAGGGTGTGGTTGTTAACACAGTGGTATACAAGTTCAGACTGGATTCAGGCACTCTCCAAAAGATTTTTTTTAAATCTAAAGTCTGAAATGTAAAAATATAAGGTCTCAACCCACTTTTACACTTTTAAAGAGATTCTTACCCCCACCTGTTTCACTGACTGCTGTTAATTACAGTTTTGGATCATAGGTGGTTAAATTGACACACTTCAGTTTATCTCAGTGAATTTTTGGAATGGACATTATAGCATTTTTTAAAATTGGGGAATAGACATTTCCTAAAGTATGTGAAAAAAAATACTCACTGTTGGCTTGGTTAAACCAGTATCTTTGTATGAGTGCCAAAGATGTGTGAATGCAGATACTGCCTGTGTAGACCTAAATTTTAGTTTGGTGTGCCTGCATCCATATACAATTTTTTTGTGGTTTATAGCATAAAAGCAGAACATTGTTTTTTTTTCTTAGTTTTCAACCGGCTCATACTACTTTATAGTGCTTTCCAAGTATATAAACTACTTGTAAATCATTAAAATAAGGGATAACTGTGATAATAGTGTTTCTTGCCTTCTAGAAAATGATTTTATTAGCTACATTCAAAACCAAGCATCTTCACAGGTTCCATCATTAGAAACAGTATAGTTCTAGTTAACATGATTAGAGAGTTTCAGGGAAAAGGCTTATATTTTCTGAAACTGTATTTGGTATGTGACTCAATGTGGTATTTTGGTCTTGTTAGTCACTTATATGATTGAAGTTTGCAAGGATTTATTGCCAAGTAAAGTTTGACCAGAGTGTACTGAGAATAGCTACATAAAGGGAAATCTCTCAAAATTCCTTCTGTTCATTTAATTTGGAGCATATTATTTCAATAGTTTTAAACATGTAAAAAGTTGGTGAAGCATCAAAAAATCTTCAAGAAACAAAGAAAAAATAGAAATTAGCTAACAAATTCCTTAATGCAAAATTAATAGGTCATAAAATGTAGTCTATATTAAAAGCCAGAGGCTCTGCTATAAATGTAAGAGTTTAGAAAAACAGTGTACTTCAATTAAGGACTAAATTATCAAAATGGCATGTTTGGTTTTCTTTTCTTTTTTTTTTTTTGAGACGAAGTCTTGCTCTCTTGCCCAGGCTAGAGTGCAGTGGCATGATTCTTTGCTCACTGCAACTTCTAACTCCCAGGTTCAAGCAATTCTCATGCCTCACCACCCCGAGTAGCTGGGATTACAGGTGCACCCCACCATACCCACCTAATTTTTAAATTTTTAGTAGAGATGGGGTTTCACCATTTGGGCAGGCTGGTCTTGAATACCTGACCTCAATTGATCTGCCCACCTCAACCTCCCAGAGTGCTGGGGTTATACTCGTGAGCCACTGTGCTGGCCTAAAACTACATGTTTATGCTTCTGGTCATTTCTATTATTATCCTTCTTTTGAAATTTAAGTTAGTGCTTTTTAACCAAATAAAAGAAGAACCACCTCTTTGAATATATGACTCTGCCTCTGTGTAAAGTGACTGGGATTTTGTTAAAACCGTGTTTCTACTTCTAAACCCTGTAACCATTCCCCCTCAGAAATCCCCTCCCAACACCTGGATTTTAAAGATCCTCCAGTGTTAAGGGAAGCTACAGAGTCTATTAAAGATGCAGCTCTGAACCAATTAATTTTTGTCCTTAAAATGTAAAGCATTAAGTAGCTAATATATTTAATGCCACTAATTGTTGTTCAGGGCTTTCAGCATACTATTAAACAGAATCCAAAGTAATCAAAAGAAAGTAAGTGAATTTATCCAAAGCCAACTTTGTTTCTGGTGTGTTCCCTGCCCCAAATAGATTTTAGGGCAGAAGTAGAAAACTGAATTTACACAGAAGTATTTTTGGAAAAACTGCAGCACTACGAAGTAGATGGATTCTTCTTCAGTATACTTTTTTTTTTTTTGAGATGGAGTCTTGTTCTGTCATCCAGGCTGGAGTACAGTGGTGTGATCTCCACTCACTATCACCTCCACCTCCCAGGTTCAAGTGACTCTCCTGCCTCAGCATCCTAAGTAGCTGGGATTACAGGTGCCCACCACCACAGCTGGCTAATTTTTGTGTTTTGAGTAGAGACAGGGTTTCACTGTGTTGTCCAGGCTTGTCGAACTTCTGACCTCATGTGATCTGCCTGCCTTGGCATCCCAAAGTGAGTGCTAGTATTACAGGTGTGAACCACTGCACCTGGCCAGCATGCAGTTTAAATAGTGGCTTAGATTTAGTTTAAAATATTTGGGGGTGAAAGGCAGGAATAGTTCTGTTTTTGACAATACAGGTTTTCTTTGGGATTGTTTTCATTTTTGAGTATAGATTCATGTCAGAATGGCCAATTAACATGGGTTTCTGTATTCCCTGGTGTTGCTCCCAACCTGAACTCACAATCAGTTGCCATACTGAGGCAAGAACACTCAGGGTGAATGTAGTCAGGTTACTTTAAAAGTGACAAAGTATTTTTCCATGGTGAGGCCTTTAGTATTTGGCTGAATGTAAAGTATGCTGAAGTGGTAAATCGAGGGTAAGTTGTTAATCACTAACCTTGTTTGCACTTTTGTCCACTGCTGCTTGCACTAGGATCTTGGTGTGAATGTTCAGTTGTTTTACAGTGTATACAGATTATTAAGCATAATTTATATAAAGATGTTTCTGTTTACCTTTGTGTGTTTTACAACAAAGAGCTATAATAGATGGTTAAATGTTTTTGAATTGTGTTTATATGTTATTTTGATTATGTTCTATTATGTTTTCACCTATGAATTTGAGTGTCAGGAAGGGAAAAATAAAATGCTAATCTGGTCTTGAAGAACTCTAGTGTCAAGTTCCATTTTTATTATCCAACCATAATTTTTATTTTGTTCATTAGAAATGTCTTGGACTTTGAAAATTACAAAGATTGTAGAACTTTCCCTTTGTGCAAGGATCCAGAGGAAACTTTACTCAAGTAACAAGGCCTAATTTGCTTGGTAAAACTGAAAACAATTTATGGACAAACTGAAGTAGAATACAATGTCTACTCAGCTGAAATGTGAAAAATAAGATGACCATTTTATCTACATCACGTTTCTCTAGTATGCACAGAATCTCCTGGAGAGCTTTAAAATACAACATTCTCTCCCCTCCCCTCCCCTCCCCTCCCCTCCCCCTCTGTCTCTCAAAATTCCTATTGTGATTCAGTAGATCTGGGGGTGAAAGTGGGAGGCAGAAAAAACAAGCTTCTCAGTTTTTTCTTTTTATACACACTCTCTTTTTTCTTTCTCCTCCCTCCGTCTTTTTTTTTTTTTTTGAGACAGAGTTTCACTCTTGTTGCCCAAGGTGGAGTGCAGTGGAGCAATCTCAGCTCACTGCAACGTCTGCCTCCCAGGTTCAAGTGATTCTCCTGTCTCAGCCTCCTGAGTAGTTGGGATTACAGGTACATGCCACCACACTCAGCTAATTTTTTGTATTTTTAGTAGAAACAGGGTTTTACCATGTTGGCCATGCTGGCCTCAAACTCCTGACTTTGGCCTCCCAAAGTGCTGGGATTACAGGTGTGAGCCACTCTGCCCCCTCCCCTTCCCTCCCTTCCTTCTTTCCTTTTTTTTTTTTTTTTGGTGGGGACAGGGTCTCACTATGTTGCTCAGGCTGGTCTTGAACTCCTGACTGAAGGTATCCTCCTGCCTTAGCCTCCCAAAGTGCTGGGATTGTAGGCATCAGCCACCATGCCTGGCCTCTCAGCTTTTTCTAATGTTGAAGTCTAAATTTTTCATTTAGGAGAAATATTGCTCTAACAATATTGCTAATAATAAATGATTCTTAGCCAATCAGTGAAACAAAAAAGAAGTAATCATTTTGGTAAGGATTATCAAGTTAGAGATTTAAATCCAAATATAAAACCTTTCTATAGCCACCTCTTTAACCTTCCCACTAACAATATACAGCAGTAACAAGCTTTGTGCTAGCTCTCAACATAATCTATCACAACTATTACAGTTGGGCCCATCAGAATAAAGATTTACTTATGGACCCTTAAATTATTTGTTGAATTGAAACTAACAAGTAGAGGCTGGGAGCAATGTAATCCTAGCACTTTGGGAGGCCGAAGCAGGAAGATTGCTTGAGGCCAGGAGTTCAAGACCTGGGCAACATAGCAAGACCCTGCTTCTACAAAAACATTTAGCTGGGTACAGTGGCACATACCTGTAGTCCTAGCTATTCAGAAGGCTGAGGTGGGAGGATTGCATGAGCCCAGGAATTCAAGGCTGTAGTAAGCTGTGATTGTGCCCCTGCACTGCAGCCAGGGCAACACAGTAAGACCCTGTCTCAGAAGAAAAGAACAAAAGAAACTAATAAGTAGATAGATAAAGTGAATGCAGTGCTTACTTCGGCAACATATATACTAAAATTGGAGATAGTAAATGCACCGAAGGGACCAATGCTTAAAAAAGTCTCAGGGGCTGGGTGTGCTAGCTCACGCCTGTAATCCCAGCACTTTGGGAGACCGAGGTGGGTGGATCACCTGAAGTAGGGAGTTCGAGACCAGCCTGGCTAACGTGATGAAACCCCACCTCTACTAAAAATAAAAAAATTAGGCCAGGCGCAGTGGCTCATGCCTGTAATCCCAGCACTTTGGGAGGCTGGGGTGGGCAAATCACCTGAGGTCAGGTGTTCGAGACTAGCCTGGCCAACATGGTGAAACCCCATCTCTAATCTCTACTAAAAATACCAAAAATTAGCCAGATGTAGTGATAGGAGCCTATAATCCCAGCTACTCAGGAGACTGAGACAGGAGAATCACTCAAACCCGGTGGGTGGAGGTTGCAATGAGCCGAGATTGCACCATTGCATGCCAGGCTGGGCAACAAGAGTGAAACTCTGTCTCAAAACAAACAAAAAAATTAGTGTGGTGGTGGGTGCCTATAATCCCAGCTACTCAGGAGGCTGAGGCAGGAGAATCACTTGAACTCCAGGGGTGCAGAGATTGCAGTGAGCCCAGATAACACCACTGCACTCCAGCCTGGGTGACAGAGCAAAACTCCATCTCAAAAAAAAAAAAGTTGTGGGCATGGTGGCTCACACCTGTGATCCCAGCACGTTTGGGAGGCCAAGGCAGGTGGATCTTTGCTTGAGCCCAAGAGTTTGAGACTAGCCCGGGCAGCATAACAAGATCCCATGTCTACAAAATACAAAAATTAGCCAGGCACGGTAACACGTACCTGTACTCTTAGCTACTCAGGAGTCTGAGGTGGGAGGATCACCTGAGCCCAGGGAGGTCAAAGTCACAATGAGCCGTGATCATGCCTTTGTACTCCAGCCCAGGAGACAGTAAGACCCTCTCTCAAAAAATTAAAATAAAATAAAATAAGGTCTGGTTTATTTATTGAATTTAGCTACATACATAATTTCAGCTAGACTATCTGATGTTTGTACCTGCTAGACTGACACATATGACCAATGGTGTACAAGTAATGTGTCGTAGCTCCCAGCAGAGTTGAAAGGCACTTTATTGGGAATAGGGAAAATTCCTAGGAAACAATGGAAATGAAGCCCTCTGCGTGGTGACCACCATCCTTCTACTTGAAAGGGAACAAAATTTAGTAGCCTGTTGTTGAAAAACAAAGGTCCTAAAATAGGCTCTATTTCTGCAGAGTCCCTTATGCAAGGTTCAACTGGGAGTTTAGTTAATTGACAAAAGTCAAGGCCTATGTTTATAAAGCCTCTTAATTTATTTAAACTTAGGCACCAAGGCTTTGGTGTCTAATACTTTTCTTGCTACTACTTAGTAAACAAATTAAGTCTTGCCTTGGAATGTGGATTTTTACTCTGGGGCATTATGGAGAACAATTTGAGATTTTTTTTTTTCTTTTTTTTCAGGACAGAGTCTCTGTCATCCTGGCTGGGGTGCAGCTGTGATCATAGCTAACTGTAGCCTCAACCTCCTGGGGTAAAAGCATCTGGCTACCTCAGCCTCCTAAGTAGCTGGGACTACAGGCACACATCACCACATCTGGGTAATATTTTTTTTTTTGTTGTTGAGACAGGGTCTCGCTGTGTTGCCCAGGCTAGTCTCAAACTCCTAGCCTCAAGCAGTCTGCCTGCCTCAGCCTCCCAAAGTGCTAGAATTACAGCATGAGCCTTGGCATCTGGTCTAAGATATATATTAAGGTCATTGTGACTTCAGTGATGGCAATATGCTACTACAAACAAGCTGATAATGTTATAAAAAGAAACTGAAGAGTTTTTTTTTTTGCTTGATTGTATTGAAGAGGTTTAGGATAATGGGTAACAGATTCCTTTAGTCAACAAACTTTTCATGAAGCATGTTATATGGATAACATGGGCAAAGATCATTGGAGGTTAGATACAGATGGAAGAGAAAGAAGCACTTGCAGGCGAATGGGGGAGGGGGATGGCGTAAAATAGAGATTTTACTTCCCTGTTTTTTTTTTAGACAGAGTCTCACTCTGTTGCCCAGGCTGTAGTACAGTGATGGGATCTCGACTCCCCTCACCTCTGCCTCTCAGGCTCAAGGGATCCTCCTGCCTCAGCCTCTTGAGTAACTGGGACTATAGGCGTACACCACTATGCCTGGCTAATTTTTGTATTTGTAGTAGAGATGGGGTTTTGCCCTGTTGGCCAGCCTGGTCTTAAACTCCTGACCTTAGGTGATCTGCTTGCCTTGGCATCCCAGAGTGCTGGTATTACAGGTGTGAGCCACTGTGCCTGGCCTATTCCCTGGTTCCTTGAGCTAAAAGGAACTTATTTATTCATTTTTTGAGACAGAGTCTCTCTGTTACCCAGGCTGGAGTGCAGTGGTGTGATCTTGGCTGCTGCATCCTTTATCTCCTGGGTTCAAGAGATTCTTGTGTCCCAGCCTCCCAAGTAGCTGGGACTACAGGTGTGCAATACCACAACTGGATAATTTTTAATATTTTTTTTTTAGTAGAGAAAGGGTTTCACCATATTGGCCAGGCTGGTCTTGAACTTCTGACCTCAAGTGATCCACCCGCCTCAGCCTCCCAGAATCCTGGGATTACAGGTGTGAGCCACCACATCCAGCCAGTTCCCTGGTTTTTTGAGTTAAAAGGAATTTAATGTGACATTTGGTGGTTTTATAGTCTTGTTTCATGTGGGATCAGTAACATCTCAGAAACTAGAGAGAAGCTAAACATTACAAAATAACAGCACCATTCTTAGGGTTCTCTCCAAGCCCCTGGGTTTGAGTTGAAGTCACTAGACCCACCTCCTGATTTACTAATCAGAAACCAACCCAGACTGATACAGTCTGGAGAGAAGCAAGTTGACTTTCTTCCATTCTAGGGACTTCAGTTTTGAGAACTGAGAGCCCAGGAGCCCCTCTTTGGGTAATGGACAGATCAGGAGAGCTCCAGCCCTATTCTGCGTCCTAGAGAGGGAAAGTAGGTGGGAGCTTGTTTGTGACTAGGGGCTCCATTGTATGAGAACACAACTCTTACCGCTCCTGAAGGAAATCATGTAATGATGCTTTCTTTCCTAACTGCCTGGCAGCAGATGGCAAGGGCATGAAGCTATTTCGAGAACACTCTTGAGTTTTTTTCCACACCAGCTTCTATTTAGGGCCAGGCTCAGAATCATCAATCCCTTGAGTCCTCTGGCAGTCGGGTGGCAGTGGAGCCCCTCTTGAATTTACTCAATCGGTCTTCCTCCTTGGAAAGGTGGTACCTTGACCCTTCTGAAGACCTGGGACTGGGTGGCCATTTTGCCCACTCTTTGTGCCAGTGCTGGGCTGGGCAAAATAAGGGGCAAGGTCTCTACTCACCAAATTGTCTCTTTTCTCTCTTTCTCTCACAC